GATTCTGTTACCCTTTTCTGTTGGTTAGAAGCAAGGCTCAGCCCAGTGGGCGTGGCTCAGTGGTTGAGTGTGGACCTATGAACGAGGAGGTCATGGTTTGATACCCCATCAGGGCACATGGCCTGGATGTGGGCTGGATCCCTGGGTGTGGGGCGTGCAGGAGACAGCCAATCAATGATTCTTTCTCACCATTGATGTTTCTATCTCTCTCTCTCCCTCTCTCCTTCCTCTCTGAAATCAATACAAAGACATTTTTTAAAAATAAATAAAATTGCTAATCAGCTGACCATAAAATGGGGATATTATCCTGGATTATCTGGATGAGCCCAGTAGTTATGAATCCTTCAAAGTGGAAGAGGGAGGCAAAATAGAAGTTCATAGTGATGTGATATGAGGATTCATTCAGCCAAATGTTGGTGGCTTTGACGATGGGGGGAGGGGACTATGAGCCAAGGAATGCAGATAGCTTGTAGAACAAACAAACAAACAAAATGAAGGGATCTCTCCCTTAGGGCCTCCAGAAGGAATACCCTGACAATGCCAGTGAGGACCCTTGTCAAAATTTCTATGCTACGTGATGGTAAACTAGAAAGTTGTGTTTAGATTATGAGTTTGTGGTAATTTACTACAGCAGCAATAGAAAAGTAATGACAGTTCATATTTCACACAATCCTCATGAAAACCCCAGAGAGAAGTTGTGCTAATTCTTTTTGCTGACGAATTGTATTATTTCTCTTCACCTCATGTTTGGTGATTAGCAAATTAATTTTTCCTGATGTCTTCAGCATGTAGTACAGTATTCATTGAAGTTGTTGCTTTAGGCAGACACTTAACACAAATGTAGTAAAAATCTGCACAAAAGGGTGATTTTCGAGAAAGATATTGGTCAGAAGAAAAGTGTCTTTTGTTCCTTGGTTGTTGTTTTTCCTGCCTTGGTTGGAACCACAGGAATTCTTAGGTTAACTAATGTCAGAAAACAAATGGTGTGATTGGCTCATTATAATTTTCATGGCTACTCTTACTGGTGCTTTGCCATTTGTGTGCTCTGGACAGGCTAAATGTTGTCTCTCTCAAATGTCCTGTCCACTGATTTGTTTTCAAACCCACAGTGCTTGATACTAACTTCCACAGGCATCCACCTCCTAGTCCAGTCACCTCTAATATGCAGCAAGGGTGAGCCACATCAAAGCACACCACTGTGAGAAACTATTACAGTTTTCCCAATCTCCGGGAATCTCCTATTCTTCATCTTCTTTACCCCAACCCTATGAAACAACTCTTGTGTCCTTTGTCATGGGTCCAATATTCCTGAAGACCTGGGCAGGGATTTTTTTAGTGTTCCCTTGGAAAATGTAACTCTTAATTGATTCTTACTTCCTCTTGAGGTGGGAAGACAAGGGGATATGTTGATATAAGTAGTCTTAGACCTCTATAGAATATAAAGATGTGGCTGTGTGAGGATGGGAAAGGGGAGAAAATGTTTGTTTCTCTCTTATATCAGGAAGGCTATGGAAGAACTTATTATATAACTCAATAGAGTGTCTTGTCATATAACATTTTTTAACTCAAATTGGGAAAGTTTGGT